ATAGTGTATTAGACCAAAAAAATAAAAAATACATTGTTCCCAAAAGGAAGATTTTGTATTTTTAAAACCTGAGCTCCAGCCTGAAGCGGCATCAAGCTGTGTCCAAGGTTTTGCAGGGCCAGTTGGCAAAGTCCAACTAGACAGCACCCAGGGCACCGGCAGCCAGAGGGGTGCCAAGAAGTGTGTGTGTGTGTGTGTGGGGGGGGGGGCATGGGACTCTCTCTCATATAACCTGAGTATGCTTTTAAAGCTCTGACCATGTAATTCACTTTCCCACACTGCTGAGTAAGAATCACATTTCAGTGACCAGGTTACTGATGCAAACATTATAAATGTGATACATTGTGTAAGTAAGGTATGAAGTTGGATTACATGGAAGTCAGAGAATCAGTGGTTCAATAGGTAAAAACTGTAATGCGTGTACATAATACAGGCTAGTTTGTACTTTGCGTGCGCGCGCACACACACACACACACACACACACACACACACAGAGAGAGCTGTATTCAAATGTTATTAAAAGAGACACATGTGGGTGTGCAATGTGGTTTTGACAAAAGAAGAGGAGCTGATGAGCTGTTTGCTCACAACTGTTTGTAGGAGTCTTTCCTCTGAGGATCTCCCACAGCAAAAGAGTTGTGCGCGTTTATACATGTGGCACAACAGCAGGAAGCGTATGAATTATTGTTAATTACGATTCATTGTCTGAAGTAAGGAGACAATAATAAACAATGTTGGTCATTGCCACAGTCAGCACCAAAGAAATGCACAATGTTTCTTTTAGACTGGTGAGTTCATGCAAATACCAGGTAGGAGCAATGGCTTCTCAGCTGTCATCAAGCTTAGGGGGACAGGTCGCCAGTCCTTCCCTGTTATCCTCAATTAACTTACAATACATGTCTCTGCAGGAAGCATGTAAAAGAAAAATTAGGGCCACTAAAAGAAAATAACAGGGTGACTGGAACTGTTTTTTTTTCATAGTTCTTAGATCAAACCATTTTCTTCTGCTTCTTACAGTCAAAATTCTCTACAAACTCAGGTGCCAGCCCACTAGGAGGTTGAAATTCGGTACTTTCAGTCAGTGAAGCAACACTGAGCCAAGAGCACTAACCACTGCACCGTCATCCCCCCTACTCTCACGCCAAACACTGCCTTTTGTGTCTTACAACCAGAATGGGCAAAAAATACTAGAAATTTCTGGTCAAACACTGCCCCCAGGTGGTGAAATTTCAAAACAGCATTACCTACAATACCTTTAAAGTAAGTCAAATAAGTCAAATACCAGCCCGGGCTCACTTTCTAGAGCCGATCATCCACTAATCCGAAGGTTGGTGGTTCAACCCCTGCCTGGGCCAGTCTGAATGCCAAGATACTGAATCCCAAGTTGCTCCTAATAAGCATCAGAGTGTGATTATTAGACAGATGGAACTTAGGTGCAGAAAATGGTGCTTGGGTGAATGAGGGAAGTTGTATACAGCTCTCTGAGTATTCAGGTAAAAAAGCTTTATATCAAAACCAAAACTGTACTGTCATTATTCTCAGTACTTTTACCAAAGTTAGCGCCACATGTCAGAGCAGTGAATTGCCAAAGTGTGGAGCGGTGCAAAGGTACTGCACACAATCCTAGAAGAGCTACAGTATTAACAGAAATTCACATTGAAATTACTTACAAGTATCTGCAGTTACATAGTTATATAAATGTATTTATTTCTATAAAAATGAATTCAGTCTAATAATAGAGGTAGTTAGTTTGTGATATTACTCATTACTGTGACCCAAATTTACTCCTATTGTATTGAACTTTATTTACAAGTGCAGGTGGGTCACACATCAGTGTTTACAAATTAAGGCCTATAATTTGGCCTTAGCAAGTTACAGTCAACAGCCTGTGTTATTCATGTTTTTGGAATCACATGTTCAAGGAAATACATCACTCTCTCTAGTTTGTTGGTTAAATTGAACATTTATGATTGGGTGGGCCCTAAAGATGGGCAAATCAATCCAAATGGTATCAATACAAACGTTGGTATTGGTATCGGAATGATTGTAGCACGATAGGACTGATACTTTGTTTCTATCCTCTGAGTTTAGTAAGTAGCCCACCAAATTGTCTGAATCTCTTTGTGTTCACTGTCATGTCTATTTTATTAATAACCTATTGCACATTTTAAAACACAGAAGTTTAATGGAGAGTCTTTGCTTAAATGCACCTCAGGAGTTTTAGCTGTGGCTTTAACAGTGGTTTTACACCTACAGGAATGTATCTTCTCTCCTACTTGGCAAGTTTAGATAACACAATTTTAAATTGTTGTTTGAGTCGCCTTTTAGATTCCCTCCCACACAAACACACCCCACAACCCTGTAAATAACTTTCATTGCGTTCCTCAGATGAAATATGCTCAAGAATTATGAACAATTCTTCTCACAGTGCATACATCGTATTTGGAAGTATATTAAAGCCTTCCTGTATTGCCACTTCTCCACACATAAAATGCAAATTCAGCCCCAAATGCACGGCAGCTTGGCAATTAAATTGCTGCTTGTATCCTCGCGAATCTAAACAGATGTCTTCCCCTTGTGATGCACGATTCCATCAGCATCTAACAAAGTGCTCACCTCCAGTGAAACAGCAAAGCTTTCAGGGGCATGAGAGGGACTCTGCCACGCTGAAAAGCTGCAGTATCTGACAGAGATGCCCACTGTTTCTTTATATAACACCTTTTTATAGCACCTATTTACCTTGAAATGATGTTGCCAAGTAACAACATCCCAACTGTGCAGCGGCGGTGGGGATGGTGGTGTGTGTGTGTGTGTGTGTGTGTGTGGGTAGGTGTGGGTGTGTGTCAGTGATGGATGTCCTGAAGGGCTGTTATTGACTCTAAAAGTGGGGTTCTAACAGCGAGCTGGGCGAATGAATTCCAGTGTTTTTCGCTCTCATGCAGGTCTGCTGCTGCAGTAAAGGTGTAGACAAGAACTCATCCATCACTGCTGCAAGTTCAATCCTTAATGCTGCTAATCGTCTTGCACGGGGCCCAAACCTCTATGATGCTTCTACATCCCCCCCCCCCTCTTTTTTTTTCCTTTTTCACAAGTTTCTCCAACCTCTCCCACTCCCTCCATCCCCTTTCTCTCTCAGCATGAGTCGCTTAACTGATACATGTACTACAATAATCCCTCTTCTTAGCGAATGGGATTAATATTTAATTCAAGAAGAGCCTTTCATCAATACCAACCCGTGCCTTCTTTGTTCGCTCTGTTTAACCTTTTTTTGCTTTTTTTTTGTGGCAGATCCAGCAATGATGTAATAATGCAACAGATCAGGGCAGATGTAGTGATGTGGAGTTAAGTGCAGCAGATCCAGTCACTTTGGTTAAAAATGATACGTGTGGAGGGAAAATGCACGTATAGCAGTTTGGAGAGGGGAAAAAAAAATCTATTAACAATGCATCAAAAGAGGATTTGGACTCAAATTGTCCTCAGTGCTCTGTTTTAATGATGCCTTCTGGTCTGTTAGGCTTCTATGAGAGATCAAGCTACTGCTTTTAAGTCACCCTGCAACAGTATCTGAAGCTGTTTGTGCTTTATCTTTGAATCTCCAGCACTTGCATTGATAGAGGTATCAACCAGAGCCTGTTATGCACTGATCCAATCCAATGCTGATCCAGGATTAGCTGGGGAGGCGAGACCACATGACCATGAGTAAATTTGAGAATGGAGGTAAAGAGTTTACCCCGCCTCCCCTCTGCTCATATCCACACACATATATTTTAACATGATTTTTGATGGTGGGGATAGTGGAATGTTTCTTTTAGACAGTGAGCTGTCTAAATGCACTCCCAGCCTGGAGCAAAGGGGGTCAAATCTATCTGAGGTTGCTCTCTGCGTGTGTTTGATAGTGTTTTGCAGTACTGCAAATTTTGGTATCGATCCAATACCAAGTAAGTACAGAGTCAGTAATGCCAATACCAATACCGATATTTATGTAGTATATGTAAGGGAGACCAGTGTGTCATGATTGATGATTGACTCACCAATAACAACAATTTATTTAACACAATTCAGTGTATTAAACGTAGAGGATTGAAACAAAGTATCGCTCCTATTGCTCCAGTATCGATGCAATACCAATACCAGAGATGATATCTATATTATTGATAGGGGGTGTTTGATAGCTCAGGGCCTGCTTATTTGTGTTAAACAAGGAGGGATCTCACTTCTTAAACTGCAGCAATAAGGTTTCCAGGGTTTTTGGTGAAAATGAATAACGATCTTATTTTATGTTCACCATGCAACAGGATGGTGTTAAAATTTTGGTGTTTTTTATGGATGGAAATGGGTCGTTGTGGTTCAGAGATTAAAAGAGGAATTTGGCTCCACCTAGTGGTTTCTCTCGTCAAATTTATTTATTTATTTTTGTATTTGCGTCATCACCCTTTCTCAATCCTTGGAAATCTGAGATCAACCCACCGAGGAAGGAGTCAATTGGTCGAACGACAATTGGAACAAGAGGAAGTCGCCTTCAAAATAAAGCGTCTAGCGAGCGTTGACGATCGTCTGAAATGGTACAGAAAAAGTAAAACAGACAGTAGAACAGCCATCTTAAAACGTTATGAACTGAATAATATTAAAAGACAGTAACACATCACATTCACAGGAATTTCTAACAGATTAACTGCCTAACAATTCAGATGAAAGTAAGCGCGGATAGAAACCAAGTGCATTAGATATTAATATTATATTAATTGTACCTTTTTTATACTTACAATGAAAATATAATGCTAATATATGGTTGTCATCAATAATAATAATAATAATAATAATAATAATAATAATAATAACTCTTAAAGCTTAGGTGTAAACGTAAGGTAAATTAGATAAGTAGAAGATCATATATGCATTGATGAATACAGCAAAGATAATACTAATAATAACATTAATGCGCAATACCGATTATATACATTTTAGTTTGAAATATTTAACCGGAAGTGTGACATCTTTAGACTAGCTTGAAAGTGGGTGAAGGTTTTTACACAGAACGGTATTTTTCTGTGAATGCATTGTAGGTTGTAGCCATTTCTTTCATCGCTCAGAATCCTGTTCTTCAGCGTTGTTTCTGGAATCAACATCTCTTGCCCGTGACTCACACATCGGAGTAAACCCAAGTCTTATTTTTTTTGATAGTTCTCACCGGCTGGCTCGTTTAGCCAGCTGAACCTTGTCGAAGATGGACCCAGCGAGCCGATACCAAGTGGTGAGTGGAAGCTGATCAAAACACCGTTTGATAGCTCGGCCTGCCACCCGTCACAGGCACCAGGCCCTTGCCAAAAAAATGAATGCTTATTGTTTGTATTGACTATTTAAAATGCGTTATGTGGGACAGACAAAAAGCCGTAAATAAAAAAAGCAAACTTTCACAAGTGTTGTGTTTTTCCTCTAAATTGGTTTTGCTATGGTACCCAGCCTTTGATTAGCCACTTCCGTTAGCTGGCCAGCCAAGAGTAGTCACGAAGGCCGTTTAAGTGAAAATGCTTTTAACAGCGTTACACACATAAAATACACTCTCTAACTTGTAGTTACATGTGTACATTAAAACAAAAGTGTAGTTACACGGTTTTTGGCAGCATAAATTCTGAGAAGCTTAGCTGTAAGTTAAGTGGTTAGCATAGGGATTTAGTAGCTGGCTCATATTAAATGTGGTAAGAGGGCCTTTTTTCCCCCTCTGGTTGTATTTTTTTAAGCTGTATTCCCGGCTTAAACCGCAGCTTAAAGGGCTGGTACGAATCAAGAGAAAGGAATGACGGTGACAAATAAGTGTTAACGAACTAATTTTTTAGAAATATGACTTATATTATGTCGTCGCAGAATCATAAAATTCTGTAGTAATGCAGGGGAAAACTAATGCTACTACTGTTAGTCAAAGACATTAATGGATGCCAGCCTCAGAGTATGGCTTCTTTGGTTGAACTGGCCTAAGCATGTGGAGTTTGTTCTTTAATGTATTGTTCCTGTTAATGTATTGTAACAGCAGTGTTGGTAAAACTTTGGAGTCAGCTATGAACCTTGGGAGATAAAGTATGCTTTGTGCCTTGTATTCTGGTATTATGGCTGATAATCCCACAGCATTTGGTATGAGCCAAGGCAAATCAGCAATGTCCTTTTTAACTTTTCAGCCCTGAACAAAGCAGCGATTCACACAAAGTTCCTTTTTTTTTGTTTTGTTTTTTTTGAAACTCTAGCACAATACAGTGGATTCTCAAGGATGGCTTGGATGTGGCCAAACGGATAAGTTATCTGATATTGTGGTTTGTGAAAACAAACAAAAAAATATACTAATAAAAAAAACAGTGTTCATCACAGTATGCCTACACTGTCATCTCTTGCTCTGTTTCCTTTCTAAATAATACTACAGGTATGGGGCACTGCTGCTGTGAGGTTCGGGTGTATTTGGACACATGAGGAGGCTTGTGGCTATGTTGTTAAGATCTTATGTAATCCCCTGTGCTTGCGTGGGGGTGCAGTTATGCTTTGTCCTTGATTCTGAGCCAGTCGTCGGCTGCTCATTCACTTCCCTGCCTTGTTTGCTGACCCAGCGCTGGTGGAGGTTCAAAAGTCAGTTGGGACGGCCAAGATCTTAGTTTTTCAGAAGTCTATCGGTGTGGTAAACCAACAGATTTCACTGTGACTGTGCTTATTAAAGAAGCTATTTAGGTTTGTTAGTCACCTCTGGCTTTTCAACTTGCGTGATATCCTTACTTATCACAAAGGGTGTTTCCCCTGTTTGTCGCGGTGTTTTACCACTGTTCGAAAACCACCATTACTTCATGGAAAAGGTTTCAAATGGTAGATTCACCTTTCAAAAACATCATTTTAAGCAGATTATCAGAATTGTGGAATTCAGTCCTGCTGACGCAGAGTCAAAATGAGTTTCAAATGAAAACTTGCATAGCTTCAAGCGTCACAAGGCAACTAAAATTTGCCGCCTTTTTTTTTTCTTCCAACTTTTTACATATAAAGCAATCATTTTGTTAATCAGGATTTTTTTTTTCCAGTACAATAATCATGAAGTGAAAATCATGACATGCTGCGTTTGTAATTTTTTTTTTTTAAACCTTTACAATCCTAAAGTAAAAATCTGATATCGGCACATGCTTAGTCAGTATTTCTAATTGATAAATCTGACATGTAATGAAGCTGAATGTCAAACCCAAACTGCCTTAAGCTTTGCAGTGACATCAAACCAATCTCCTCTTGCTAACTGTAAACTTGGTGAATGTATCTGGCTCAAACATTAGAGGCAAGCGTGTTGTATTGCCTATTAGATCAACACAAGTCAGCAGAACAGCATACCAACTCACCCAACTAAATGTATCACTGTAACTGTTTACTGACGATTGTGATCATTTAAAATTAAATTCAAGATTGTGTCAATCACACAGATCATAATCTCATCAATAATTGTACTTTTTGTAAGCTTAGTCTTTAACATCATACTTTTGTATGTTGAGTTCATTTTAAGTTGCTGAAAAGACAGCACGCAGTATACTAGATTTGTGTTTGGGTTTTTTTTTGTTTTTGGCATGGCTGTCCCACCTAATATTCATATGTGACAAATGAGGTTCCAACTGACTTTTGGCAAATTGCAGTTCCATTTACGCATTATGAAGGTTCAACAAGGGGATTGGACCTAAACATTAGTGGGCCATGGGCGTTTTGGGCTCTCACCCTAGTGAATGGCACCATACAACAAAACTATCATTAAATCTGCTGGTCCATGGTGTCGTTTCAGGCGGGTGATGTGCTTCTTGAGTTTGTTTGCAGGTTGAAGACACGAGTTGACCATTGTGGGGATTTTTACCACCATTTAAATGATCTATCAGTACAGAAACATACAGAGAAATGTTGCAAGTTTGTCTTTTTGAGGAAAATCTTTTGAAAAAAGCCTGCAATTTCTTCACTTCTTGGTTTTCACTTCTCTTATATCATCGCTGGTATAAAGGATACAGAACTGTGGTGACGTCACCACTGACGTGCAAAGTGACCAGTGGAAATATATAGGACCCTTCGATTGCTCTGCTGTTTTTAATATAAACACGGTCCTGTAGAACAGCGGTATAGTGATCCACCCAAACTATTGCTATTACAATAATTATATTGATGATGAAAATCAAGAACTGAGGATTATTGTGACAGTTTTCATCTCAACTTAGATCAGTGTTTTTCCTGTGGTTCTGCCTCTTTGATTACAGGCACTTTACTGTGCTCTTAGGGAATTTGTTCTTAGACTTTAAACAAGCTAAACTTGCTTAACCACCTTGAGACAGCTTTTGTTATTCTTTGGGTTATCAGCATTCTGACGCACATTGTCAGGTTATCCTGCCAATCCTGGGTCACGTAGCACTGTCCTTAAAGTTACATGTAGTTTAGTTAATTCTAAAACTACAATCTTATACCTTTGGCCAGGAGCTGACTAGATTGAACTTTCTCATGGATGCCCTTTTGGAACAGAGGGGCGGAGGCGATTCCCTCTCGGTTATACTGTAACCATCATCTGTAATTTCAGAAGGTGTTTGGCTCTAAGACCTGGCAAAAAAAAATCTGCTTAGGCTTGTAGATGACCCTCTCAGATGTCGCGTGGTCTGTCATTAACTTATTACATGTAGATCACTTTTCCAGAGACCTTCCTCTGTTGACATATTGATGTGGCTTTATGTATCTGTGCTTGCTGTGTCAAACATTCTGCTTAGGGCAAATCGTACTGCTCTTACTCATTTTACTCCTCCTTACATGCAGGCTAAGGATATCACTGTAATTGAACATTTCTTAAGCCTCTACATACTGTAGCAGTTCATTTCTTTAGGGTTCAGATTGTGTTAGCTTTCATTGAGTACAGCTCTGACAGATGCCAAAGGGTAAAGACCAAGGATTAATCTGTAATGCTTAGCTAAGGAATTAGAACTAAGCAAGAATAATGGAACCTGCCACTACTAAGAAAGTCTCCTATATAGTGGTAATCACATTTCACTGGGGTAATACAGTATTTAACTTTATCTGTGTTTTTGAAAGGGCTAAAGGCATAACTAATTATTAATGTCAGCACCCATCATGTTCCGAAGCAGTGGTGTGGGAGCCCTGGCAATGCTTCCCAGTGCTAACATACATAAATGTGAAGTGGTAAGCAAGATGGAACATACACTTAGCATAGTGTAGCTGTTTTTGGATTGTTTGTATGTATGCAGTGTCAAAACTAACTCACATGTGCCCAATATTAAATTTGTAGTGCTATCAGAGCTAATGTTAGCCACACATTCTGGGTGTTTTCTTACTTTTACACTAGTTGATTACTCTAAATTTTCATTTTAGTTAGAAAACTAGTAGCTATGCACGGATTTAACATCCTGACTCCATACATTTTCTCTGGAGGACTGGCATTTGCTGCTTTTTTGAAGTCACCAAAAAGTTTTAAAAAATCCACTTTGAAGTGTTGCCCCCTTTAGCCACAACTTTCCAGCAAATAGTCCATACCGCCTCACCTTTATTAGTGAGACAGAATCCAAAAAACATGTCCTTTTTACACTTTGTTTACCCCTGTTGTTTCACAGCTCGCTGAGCTTATTTGATTTTTCTACAAGTACTCTGGTGTTACACTGACAACTTCTTCTGTCAGACGCTTATATTTGAAAACAACCTAGAGCACTCAAAATGAGACTGAAACATACATGTTCAGATTGTTTGTTTATGTTTACCGTGATACAACAACTAACTTGTCCGTACATTGCTATTGGTGCGTGTTTTTTGTTTAGACTGGCCATAGCTTCCCAACTTTGGGCCTTCCTTTGAGAGCGAAACCAGAGTTTGGGAACCACAGTACCGAGGTCAGCTAATAATCTGGGATCTCTAAATACTGACCAGCATTAAAGACAAATTAAAGCAAGAATAGGTTTTAATCAACATGATTCTGACTGTTCAGTAAAATGTCTCATAATTGTTACTCATGGTTGAAACTAAACTGGCTTAAGACAGCCATCTCCAGGTTCTTTTTGAACTTTAAGAGCAAAGATAAAATTACCAACAGTATGTAGAAGCTTCATGGAGGAAAAATAATCATCTGCTGTAAATACGCCCACGTCAACCCACTCATTCAGCCTGAATATTATATATATATAACAGCAAGCACTACAAATGTCCAACTCTTTAATATTGAAATCTTTTGCTTTCTGGTTTGTTATTTCAGTCGAGTAGCAGCTGTTTTCATGCAGTCAGAGGAATTGGAGTTTTCAGACTTTGAAACTGCCAACACTCTGGTGCTTTCTTCTCAAGTCTTTCAGAGATGTAGGACGAGAGTGTGTGCATGTGTGCATTCCCCTCGAGCAGCAGCATTGGTTTTGGCTGATGATCTGCTTCTTGTTATATTCAGTTGCACAATGAGGACGACTCTTCGGAGGCCGGCGCCAGCGAGCCACAGCCGTGCACTTCTGCCACAGCCCAGCCCGGCACATCCGGCCAGGACCAGAGTCAGACTCAGGTGAGCCCGACCCCAGTCCCCGCGGCAGGGGAAGCGTCGGGCGTGAGGACTCAGGGGGAGGCAGTGGACACGGCACCACCTCCATACGCTTCCATCGACTTGGGAGCAAATGCTGCAGCACCACCTGGTACTAATTTGACTTTAATTACACACAGAGTTTGGTCTGATTGCAGCTCTGTGGTGACTGTTTGGAGTGTTTGTAGCTTTGAGTCACTTTAGTTTCCAGGACGGTCTCAGAGCGTTATAGGAAGTGCTCAGCTCCGCTTTGATCCTGCGTGCTTTCTGTCCTTTTCTTACTCTTTTCCTCCTCTCTCTCAACAGAGACTAGTTTCCGAGGTGACTTCCCTGTGCCTCCACCCTACAGCGTTGCCACCTCATTGCCCACATACGATGAAGCAGAGAAGGCCAAAGCAGCTGCCATGGCTGCCTCAGCAGTGGAGGTGATGCCACGGGTAAGGAGCCCTGCTCACACACGGTCGCCCCTCTCAGATCCCCTCTTATTATTCTTGGGTTAAAGTCCTTCCACTGAAACATTCTTGTGGTTACTGATCTTTGGTCTGGGTGTGGTTCACCTCAAAGTAGGGCTGGGCGATATGGCCTAAAATTCATATCGCGGTATAATTTGAAGCACGTGCGGTAACGATATATATCGTGATATATTCTTTTCTTCTGTATAACGTATTTTCCACACTATAAAGCACACTTAAAATCCTTTCATTTTCTCAAAAATCGAGATTGTGCCTTATGTATGAATTCTGGTTGTGCTTACTGACCTCGAACCGATTTTGGCGTGCAGAAATCTGTTAAAAAATGTTTTAGTACAACTTTGGTAAGCCGCACTGCTTGATGGATTGTCAGAGCATTACGGCTGCCGTAGTGAGGAGCTTCGCGCAGTAATGTGGGTCCAAAACTCCGTCCATTTCAGGTCCCAAAGTCAAACGAACACCGAGAGTTAAAGAGTTTAAAAACATGACATACCATGTTCTGACTGAGAGACTTTTGAAACTAATTAAAACGTACGGCTCTGCTACCACTTCTGACATAAATGAAGACAGAAAACTAAACAGCAGTGGCGTTTGCAGGGTTACTGAAGTTGGACTACCTGGTATATAATGTTGTACCATGTATGTTAGCATAACATTAGCACTGTGAAGCTGGAGGATGAACCCCAACTTTTCTTCCACTCGATAAAAGTTAACGTGAGGGATTCTGGTGGTTAGGAACAAATGCAGTCACATAGCAAGATGCTATACACGGGGCAAACTTCAGTCAGGAGAACAACTGAGATCATTCATCAACAATACGAGGTTAGTTATTAATATACTGCAACAACATGGGAATAGAACAGCTGCGAGAGAATTCAACATTAATGAATCAATGTTACGGAAGTGGAGGAAGCGCAGTTTTTGGCTTTCCCCATATTTCACAAGTGCTTCATCTCTTTGCTATGACTGTCGGCTTAATTTGCAGATGATAATGGTTGTAGCCACTGCGATGCTTTCGACCAAAACAGGCGCAGCTTGATGACATCATCAACATGCGCTATTGCGAAAGAGCGGTATAGTCAAAATGTCTATCGTTGGCCAAATTTATATCGTTTCTATCGTATATCGTTTATATCGCCCACCCCTACCTCAAAGCATACCAGAAAATGTTTGTCTTGACTACCCCACGCTTGTGACACTCGGGACCAAAATAAATGCTGAAAGGCTTTATTTCTACCAGCTCTGAGTGTTTGCCATTCAGAACAAGTAAAACTGCATTTCAGTTAACTTGAATTTATGCTCTGAGCACGTTATATCAGCACTTTAAAGGTTATTGTTAAGGTGACTTACTAATTCCAAAATACATTATGACTTTTAAAATAATATAACATTTGTACGTCTGTGTGTGTCCGTGTAAGGATGATGACTTCCCTCCCAGAGACGACTTCAGTGACGCCGATCAGCTCCGAGTGGGTAACGACGGGATCTTCATGTTGGCCTTTTTTAGTGAGTCTCGTGTTTTCTTTTGTTTGCTTATTTATGTGCAAAGTAAAGAGACCTGGTAGCAGCGCTGTTTGCTTTGCCCAGATTGCAACACACTCGTAAAACAGCACGTGACTCGCTGATAACAGATGAATTAACCCTCAAGTCTCACTCATAATTCAGTGGATAAACATTTAGAGAGACGCTCAAATCCACTGAGACTGTTGTTACTTTTAGATTTTTAACATATAATTTTAAAAAAATCCATTGCTGATTTCAAAATAAAAGTCACTTAGATGCCCAAATAAAAACAAGTCTTCCTGATGTTCCTTCAGTGGCCTTCCTGTTCAACTGGATCGGGTTCTGCCTGTCGTTCTGTCTGACCAACACCATTGCGGGGCGCTATGGGGCCATCTGCGGCTTCGGCCTTTCCCTCATCAAGTGGATTCTCATTGTGAGGGTATGTTTTTCCACTGTTTGTTTGTTGTGTTTGAACGATGAGGTCAGTGTTACACACGAGGATCAGGGTTTAACGAAAAGTTGGGCAACTCAGCAGCAATCTTGGAAAGAATCTGTGCGGTTTGTTTGTTTGTTTTTTTAACTTATATCTAAGTGAATGAGAATGGAGCCATTACTGAACATTTGAATATTATTCTCCCACAGCTACACTATGTTGTGGATGTTTTCCATTAAAAAAGCCTTCAGACAAGCGGTGAGCGGTAGCTAACGTCCTTTAATCACAAACAAAGAACAGAAAACCAAGCTTGGTGGAGAGCCTGCATGATCATGGGGCAGACGGTCAGCAGAGTCTCACAGAGCCTAGCATGGCTCTCAGTTAAATACCTTCTCCAGGAACAAAAAGGCAGCACACAGCTGTTTCACACCTTAAGGTTCACACTCCCTTGCTACCTCCCAGAGTCCTCAAAGAGAGAAAAGATTCTTCCTGCGGAGTTGTCTGCTTCCCCCAACTTCCTTACCAGACCCCCACCATCTGTCTAACTGTATGAGTGTGAGACATGTTAAAATCTAGTGGCACCAAGGCATTATACAATAAAATAATGTGATCAATACATAGATAAAAGAAATTCCTATACAACCACGTGAACCTCTGAGCAGTGCTACAGGATTAGCTTTTTGGGGACGAGTCTCAGTGTCGTAGACCCAAAGACTTTGACCTTGAGGGCTTTGAACCGTACTGCTGCCAAGCCGTGAACTAAATGAGGTTTCTCTGTCAGACACTCTGAGTCCTTTACGCAGTCTCTCCAAATCAGCATTCCTGCATAGTTTGTCTAAGGGAGTTACCCAGAGTTCATAGCCCTTTGATGTTAAACACAAGGTTAGTAGGTAACGGGGGGGAAAATGGCAATGTCATACGCTCTGCTCCTCTGTGCACAACTACTACTACTGCAGAGGCTCATACAGTGTTCATACCATTACCAGCCTCTGGCAAACAATCAGCTCGTGTTACTGAGCAGACGACCTGCTGATCTGCATCCTCAGTCATTCTGATGTACTGGCTTTGAAACGCGAAAGATTGACATAAATCTGTAATATTCTTTGTTGTTTGGAAGTTTCATCAGTTGGGTTGACAAAGACTAAGTCTAATGTGGTCTACAGGCGAGAGTTTAATTGTGCTCGCAGTAGAAGGAGCATTATTATATCAGTTGGGAGCTGCAGCTCTCAAGTTGGTGGTGGTATTTGTGATGTTTCATTTCCTTTGCACATGTCTTTGAAGTTTGCAGAGTCTTGTTGTTATTATTATATCTTTTCATTTGTGAAGGTCAAAAGTCTCACTGGGATTAAAAAAACCTCCCCCAGGAATGACGTGGCCAAGAGGCCAGCAGAGCCCTGAGAGCTGTTCAGAGTAAGCTCAGGACCTGCGATGCCCGGGCTTCCTGTCTCATTGTTGTAGGTTGAGATATCGAGAGCGAGTCTGATTTGGGCGTCTGATAGAACTGCAGCTGCTGCTGCGGAAGAAGTCACAGGGGGACATTAAACACACTTAAAAACAATGCTAACTGCATCCTGTGTTAATGTCTGCACACTCATGCTGTTACCCGTGTGTGTGTGTGTGTGTGTGTTAGGGTGACCTTGAGGTTTGACTTTTTTTTTTATGTATATTTCTGTTTCCAGAGATTGCCCTGTTTATACACAGCTGTCCTTTTCCACACAACACATTTAGCAATATTTCATTTTAAACTAGTCAAAGTAAGCCGGTTTCATACCATCCCCAGTCCTTTTTTTATCTATAGAGTGAGAGCACAGGACTGCTGGTCAGGCTTCATCGATGTGGGATTTGTATTTTTTAATGGACTTTATGAGAGAGCGTCACTTTGTATAAAGAGCAAATTAGACACAGCAATTGTTTCCTTCTGATAACACTAAAGCCAAACTCTCTCTTCCTGTGTGTGTCCAGTTCTCAGACTACTTCACTGGCTACTTCAACGGTCAGTACTGGCTGTGGTGGATCTTCCTGCTGCTCGGTGAGTGCGCTGCAGTCAGTAATCTTCCCTAAAAGCCAAAAAGCCTCCGTGTCAGAGTGACTTCATGATTCTCTCTCCCACAGGTCTCCTGCTGTTCTTCAGAGGTTTCGTGAACTATCTAAAAGTTCGCAACATGTCAGAGAACATGGCCACATCTCATAGAACACGCCTCTTCTTCCTCTACTAAAGGTATCAAAATCTTTGTATTGAGCTGGCTCTGTTCAACTGGATCAGAGTTTTTCAGTATGTGAAGTGTTCAGATCTGCATTTGTTTTCTAGGTGTTTGGTTTACAGCTCCAGCTTAAACTGGGGAGGTTTGATGAGATGAATTCAGGACTGGAGTCTTTCAGGGTCTCGTTCGTGAATGTGGTAGGCGCAGAGCTGACAGGTGGCTGTGGTAAAGACATGGCGTGTCAGCGGAACTGTTGGTCGACCTACATGCCGAGTTTTTTTCTCCTGTGGCTGTGAGCTGTGGGAAATGAGTGAACGAATAACCCAGCCAAGACTCGTGACATGTGTCTCAGCACCTCGCTGCTGCTGATAGACCCTGTGCACGAGAAAATGCTAACTTCCTGGTTTGAGACCGGATGTGGGGTTGTACATTTCCGGTAGCTTTACTTTGCGGTCAATCGCTACTGCGAAGATATACTCCAAAATCATGTCCAAAACTCGAAAAATCAGTTGTTTACATCACTCAACATAAGCAGAACTGCATCACTGCAGCAGAAGACACATCGTCCACATTCAGAAGCACATCTCTGTATAGTGACTGGTCTCATGATTTAAACAGGCAAATGTTCAGCATTCAAACTACAGGTGAAGAATAGTCCAACCAGATGTTTCCCGTTATGTCGATGTCAGCTAGTCAAGCACACTTACCTTCACAATTACAGCGGTCCCTCGCTATAACGCGTTCACCTTTCACCTCGGTGTTTTGCGGATTTTTTAGTGCAAGTTTGCATGTTTTTTTTTGTTGTTTTTTTTTTTACATCACATTGTGTGCTGCGTCCTGATCGCTGCAGACGATCTCCTCCGTGACGTCTCTCCTGTACAGTACAGAATCGCTGCATCGATCGCTAGCAGACTCTGAAGTGCAGTACTGTATGTCAATGATGTCCACGAAACGTTTTGCACCGTCAAAAAATAAAATTGGCTACTTGATTTCACCTATCGCTGGTTATTTTTAGAACATAACACCCGCGATAAACGAGGGACCGCTGTTTACAGATACTGAGAAATATAACATTTGAATCCCTTTTCTCTTTTGCTCTGAGGCGCGAGGGAAAAAATATCGACAAGTCGATGAACATCATTTACAGATATATTGGATAAATGCCCAAGACATTTATAGAAATGTAAATCACCGCTTGATTCATTCATTTGCTTAACTTGTTTTGGACCGTAAACAAGGCGCGAACAGGACACCGGAAACAAAGCTCCCCACAGGAGTTTCCGCACCGGAAGTAGCATATGCTAACATGCACATAGTCTATTGGCCACTTTGCCAAATTAAAGCCTGGTGAGCAGCTGCACCCGTACAGAGGATCTGTACCTGGAAAAGAACGAGACAGGAGAGTTGCTTTCCAAGTTAAACGCAGCTTAAAGCAGCACATAGCTATTATCTTCAGCTCAGGTGATCTTTGTCAGTTCTAAAATTAGACACAGCCCCATTCATGGTAATCCTTTCATGATGTAATTACAGATAATCGTTATTTAAAAACAGAAAAACACACCATTCTCCAAAAACCCAGCAGCACGCAGCTCCTGCTGATAGATTGAACAGTGGACACTTCTGTGTGTTCCTGGGTTCACTTCAGCCGGTTATGTTAGAACCTCTGTCTGCTCTGTGGCTGGTTCAAGGGCCAACAACAACACAAGTAAGAGTAGCCCACAAACTGGTTGGTCCATATATTTTTGGCACTGCCTAAACAGTAAACAGCTGCAGCGTGTAGACAACTCGGAGTAAAGCACAGGCTGTACACGGGACCAGTACAGAGTTACTGCACCACGCCACAGTGAGTTTCAGTGATCATTTTACACCATGTGCTGAAATCTAGAGCCAACGTCACAACATCTCTTATCTTTGGAAGTGTCACAATTTAGTCAGCGGAAGTCATAGTCACACGAGCCCTGAGGTTCTTTGTTCAAGGTCGTGAATGCTGAAGCTTCACGACTCACGTTTAGTGTAGAAATGTTTACAGTGTCCACCTGACAGTGGCAGTTTGTACAGTGTGGGAGAAACATGGTGTCCAGATAAAGGTCATCAGGACAGATGTGCAGTTTAAAGGTGGTACTGATGCACTTACAGACAGGAAGTTGCAGATCAGATATGTTCTCATGTTAAATAACTGTCACTGTTCACCCCTAATGACTGGAATTCATTCCCTCCAGGTTCTCCGTGCCGTCACCGCTCCATTCCAATGTGAACGTCCTTCCCTCCCCCTTGAATGACCTGACTAAAGAGCCTTGCAGTGAAGAGAGGAGATGGGGAAGGAATGGAGGAAAAGATGTAGGGAGAAAGAGTTACCAGTTTCATTAAAAGTAAAACACGGCTCACTCTGAAGCAGCTGCTTCAGAGCTGAGCTGAAAAATCCGACTTTGATGATCACGTCTCATCCCTGGCCCGTTTTGCGCCCCCCCCCACTTCATTTTCCTTTGATTCAAAGCTTTTCACACTGTCTTCTCTTGGATCATGTGACGGAAACACCAGACCAGCTCATGTGTCACACAAACCTGGCCTGAGGCAAATTTAAGAGTTAACATTTATTCACAAAGCACAACAAAACAGTGTAGGATGTACATAAAAATAGCTTTGGCAGTTCTAAGCTAGCTTATGTGATGCCATGCGGTGACAGCAGTGCTAACAGCTTAAAGCTGAATCACAAAACCTTCATGACTATAAAGTAACATTTGGAATGTTAAAATAGAAAACGTGTAGGAGGTGAAAACCTATTATGAGACTTTGATATTCAGATTTCCCCTCCAACACTGCCTTGTTTGTCTCACTTGAAACAAACAGGAATTAAGGATTCAAACTGACAGACTTTTTAGTTACTCGTGGAATTTTAAAACACACCACTGTTTACTTTATATGGTTTTATTATAAAATGAATAGAATTCATGGCACATTAATGTTAAAATAATGTAGTTAAAAGTAGCATGAAATACATTAATTATTTAACAAAAACATTAAAATAATACTAGCGGTGTGTTTAAAAATTCCCTGATGATTGTTTCATGAACTTCTCTTGAGCTTGAACTAAGCACTAGTTTTGCCATTCCATATTATTTAAGCTTAGGGTGTTATAATGAAGTCTTAATTTAACACTGATGTAGCAGTTTGACAGCGCCGGTCCTTTTTCGTCATCTCAGATTTTCTTTAAATCAAATTTATGCAACAGTTTCCATTATGAGGGCACTCAGAACCGAACACCGAAGCTCTGCTTAGCTGGAATTGGCTCAAAATATAATAAATAATATAACTTTTTTCCCCTCTTTTTCAGTCAGTTAAGTTGGGGCTCTGAGCCAATGGAAGGTGTTTGAAATTGCAAACTGGAATCTTCTATTATAATAATTTAAGATAATACAGGTGCCAAAAATTAGCATCAGCAATAACGGCACTCTGGACTGATATCAGTCACTGGCAAATATTTACTGATGATGTCACATTGCATGTGTGATGAAGAGCTTGAAACCTTTAATGACAAACCAGAAGCTTTTATTAAAATGATATCAGATAACAGATGTGCTGGCAGAAACTTCGCATTGGCTAATATTGGCTCTATTGACTGATATCGGGAATGACAGCCACCGATATTTATGCATTATCCACCAATTAATTACAGTATGAAAACCTAAATAATTCAACTATAAAACAGTGAAGGGGGAAAGGAATGAGAACAAAAGCAAATTTAAAATGCATAACAAAGTGGTTGTTTTTCAAAAATAAATAAATTGACGAGTCATACTGATACTGTTTTTACTTTTACTGTTTCCCTCTGTGTTCTGTGTCATAAACAGAGCTTCCCTGTTTAAAAAACAAAAACAGAAAAACTTTGAAGTTTTCCATGGTTGAGTCATGTGACCGACTAAATATCTGCTGATATTCCTGGTATCAGTCAGTAAAGCCAATATCAGCCGATACGGGTTACCTGCTGATATCGGTGCATCTGATATTACTCGAATAAAAGCTTCTTGTTTGTCTTGTTTTTCATTGCAGCGACTTTCCCTTAGAAACGATGGAAACATTTGCACCAGCAGATTTCCTGAATTGATTTTTTTTTAAAATCTCCTTTCCCTTCAATAACAATCATTACTCAGCCTGTTTTTTTTTTTTGGTTTTTTTTGTAACATTTTTGAATCAAAGAAAAATGAAAAGCTTTAATTAATTAATTAATTAATTCTTTTTGGGTTAAACAAAAAAATAACAAAAAACCCAACCCTCACTATTTCACAGCACAAGTTCACCTCGTCTCGGTCGGCAGTGAAACGGCTGCCTTTTCATCTTCAGAACAGTGTCTGTTTTCTACAGAGGCACTAACCAGCGAGAGCTCGGTGGGAAAAGTTTGTTTTCAGGCTGCTACGGTCAGATCAGTAGAAAGTGACCCTAAAGCGGGCCTCGTATGCATCTCCTGCTTCGGTGCTGTTGAAGTTTAAAACGATAATAAGCAGTTTTACATAGAGGGCAGCGACATGCCAGGCTCGAGGAGAAACTCCTTGAAATACACGAGTCTTATGCAATTTACTCAATTGTAATGACCTACGATTATTGTGGCTGTAAGGTCCTGTGATAATGAAGTAGACGTAGTTGAGTAGTTTAATCATCAGAGACTGAGATCCAGTTGTGACATCAGGGAGTGAAGGGCTGTTATTGGACAAGCTGGTTCTGCATGACCTGCATGATTCGGACAAAAGCCAACACACGGATCTCTCTGAGGTTTCAGCTTTTCTGATTACATTTAGGATTTCTTCCTCTTTCTTTTCATGGCGTGAGAAGCTTTCAGTGATGTGACTCTTCTTTTTTTTTTCTTTTTTTTTTTAATAAATCAATGTTAGCTGACGTTGTGACTTCCAGTGAGTGCGATGACGGCGATGAAGTCTGGGGACACGCTGTTGCGTCTTGAATATGGAGCCTGACTGGACAAAGAAAAATAAACTTTTTTTTTTTTTGTTTAATTATTATTTTTGTCATTAAGAAAAAAGAAGTGTATATACCAGATTATGCCAATTCAGAATATTTGCACTTTGAAGAACTTCTGTACAGTATGATTTATGAATCTGCAAAACTGGATCTGGGTTTAGAAAAAGGTTTTCTTCAGCCATCATTGAATTCTTAAATCATCCCAAGTGGAGAATTTGCCTTTTGCACTTTTTATTTTTGAAAATAATATTTGTGTGTGTGTGCGTGTGTGTGTGTGTGTGTGTCATCGCTTTTAGCCTAAACTGTGACAGCTTGAGAATTGCCAAACTTTTTTTTTTATTATCTTTTCGACTCTCATCATATCCCACTAAAGGCTCTTTCAGCAATATTCTGATCTTTTGGTGAATTGATGCTCTGCTGCATGATTTTCCCTCCCAAATGAGTGGGTAATGTTAGGATTAATCTAGTGCAAAATATTTCTCTTTGTATATAAATGAGGAGGGGGAAAAACGAGGCGGCAGCCACACTGTTTCTCTTGTCCAAAATATGTCCAAGTAACATGTTCTGAAGCGGTTGTTATGCATTTATTATAACTGGAATAATGATGACAAATAAATAATGTGTTGCAAAAATGAGAATAAAGTTCAAAAGTCTGCCACTTACATTTTATGTTGGCGTCTGCTTGAACTCATTTGGCAGTATTACTTACACTGTTCCTCTTACAGGTTACAGGTTAACATGCTACTGTCCTGTCAGATACTTGAGTTTCTGTGATCTTGACATCATCGGTGTCATTTTGTTTTTCTCCCTCTCACTATTTTGGTATAATTTCCTGGTTCTGGCTTCACAGGGATAAAGCTTTCCCAAGTAAGTATAAAAATCTGAGAGCTAATCTGCCAGGTAAAGCCTGTGTTATCATCTTTATTGTTTATCGCCACACAAAGCTTTACCCAGAATGAAAGCTGACACAGGATATCTGCTCAAGATGAGTCGCACACAGAAAGTGAGAACACCCACAGGTGCTGATTCAGCTTTCAAAATCAAAAAGGTCGCTTGAAGATCATTTGAGGTCACCGGTCCAAAGGTGAAGCACGATTCACCTTATCCATCATCAGGATAATGATTGCAAGCTACTGAGCAACGTTTCAAAATAAAGGGCGATGCAAATCTAAAGTTAAAGCCAATGAAGGGATCATGAATAGATGCCTAAAGTTGTAACACAATCTAAAATATATTTAAAAACAATCCTGAAATGACACAAATCAATATTAGGAAGTAAAAAGTGCCAGAAAAACAGGTATTAAACCTGGAGGGGATTTTAATCCTCTCTAATGCTGAATGGGATTGCATGTTGCAGTCTTTCTTCAAATAATCACATTCAAACAGTTGTTATATAATACACCTACATATATCTATTAATACATGTCATTATATCAATAAAATATTAAGTAGAAGATTAAAAAGTAGGTTTACTTTTTAACTAATATCAATATGGAGTCCCTGCTCTTCTAAATGGTAAGTCTTTAATCTTATGACAAATGGTATTTCAATAAGTTTGTTCGTTTTCATGTAGCTTGGAATACCAATTTTAAGTTACAGATGTATTCAATTTTTCATTATCTCTAAAGCTGAAAGCAAAGGTTAAAAATGAATGAATGTTTTCACCAATTCCACTAGATGGAGCCAAAGATTTATAGTTTATGTAGGTCAACGCGTCCCATCAGGAGAGAACCTCAAACTGCCTTTTTTATGTCTGCAGCTAAGTTCCTATTAACATAATTTAAACCGCATGCCCCTAAAAATGAAAAATAAAAAAACCCTTCATATATCACTGCCTCTGGATTTTTTTTATTTTTTTAGCTCTTGTCATCAAAATGCAACAAGTTAGAAATTGAATTTTACAATGATGTTTGTGCTGTCTTGGAAAGAAACATGGGTTTTTTTTTCTTTCCTATTTTTATTTTAGTTGTGAATCTAGTCAGATTCAAATTTGTTTTATAGTCAGACATGGGCTTCGACCTTTATTTCCTGTGGTTGAATAAAAACGCTGAAGTCGTGACAGCAGCTGTGGATGAGCGGAGGATCATTTCCACAGTGAAAGAAAAACTCATTCATCCATCCAAGTGCAGAACACTCCAGGTGTAGTGGGAGTTTTTGAAGGTAAAGAAGTGAAATTTTCTGCAATTTGGTGGACATCAATGCAACTGAGGATGTATTTCACTTAAGGCATAAAGATCCATGGCAGGATCACAATAAATCCATAATATAATGTGTCGGTGGCCATAATGATATGAGCCTAACTGGAGTGGGTTGTTTGCTAATCGGAAGGTCGGTGGCTTGTCAAAGTATCCTTGGGTAAGATACTGAAATCTCAATTTCCCCTGATTAGTCCACTGGAGTTTGAATGCCGTACTACATATTGACCCTTTCATGCATTGAATTATGACAACATGCATGAAAGGCATGAATGACAGTCAGGATTTTTTCTCAAATATTTTATTCATCTTTAGGCATGAAAAAAAGATTTGAGAATTACATTTTTTAAACATGTATTTTTCAAATAGTTTTTACATGTCCACTTAGGTGGAGAGCATCACCACATCAGTGTCCAATGTAGTGGTTTATATGCAAGTATACCATCAACACTGACACAAATACTAGAAAATAACCTCTGTCTACTGTAGTGACCACCATGTGTGAAAGGGTTAAACAGAGCAGAAAAGTACTATGTAAGTACCATGCTGTATCTTATCTGGCTTCGTAATGCAGTATTGCTGTTCTTTTCATCTGAGAACCTCCTTAAACTCAGTTTTGGGCGACTTCCATGATATCCTGGATAAATGTTGTCAAATGCTAAATACTCAAACCTTTCAAAGAATTTGGGACTTGCTGTTCAAGTGTCTGTATGTCTTCTTCTGAATAAACTTCCCCGTTTTAACCTTCAGCCAAAACTTCAGCCATCTCATCTAGCAGCACTTATAAATACTCTTTGGCCATCTGTTAAAAAAAAGAAAGATCAATTGAAGTTGACATGAAATGTAAATATATCCCTTTTACCACACAATATGTAATCAGTTCAGCTGCATGGGGGGAAAGGGATGCTGTATAGGTGTGCAGTACCAGAGTGTGACCAATAAAGATGAAGAGCTTGTGTGTTTTTATTAGCCCTCAAATCGTGAAGCTGATCTAAAACAATGATTTCCTTGTTTATGAGACGCTCACTGATGTTCTGATCTCTTGTTTTTATGTTCTACTTTCTGTGAAAGTCAGCTATGCTACAGCAGCGATCTGGAACCCATTTTAGTCTCGCAGCTTTATTGAAGTTTTAATGGTGGTGTAACTTAACCACTGATCCAAGTTCAGCGGTCCCTGTCAAAGGGACTTGATAAATATAAGCCAGAGGCTCTTTAGGACTGCTCTGGGGGTACGTTTTGCTCTATGCTAGATCAATGTGTTCTCACACACCAGCGCCTCAGGCTATTAACTACGCTCTCTGTCCTTACACAGCTGTCTGCGTTATCATCTAAAAGCCTAGTTTTTAATGTGAGAAGGCACCACGAGTCTGAAGCAGAAAAATGTGTTGGTCATTAATTATCATCGTGATAATAAAGATAAGTGGCTCGCTGTCAGTTCACAGAAGAATGGACAAACTGTATTAACACACAGTTTAAGTTAAAGCCACAACTCGTGAAAAGTCCAAAGGCTTGAATTAGGTTTCAGTCTAAGAAGCAGGAGGTTGTGGTACGGTGATTATTTTCCAATTGCTTTATATTTGTGACTCTAGCGTGAAGCTGATCTAAAACAATGATTTCCTTGTTTATGAGACGCTAAAGTCAGGACATTACCAAATTTGCAATGTGAATGCTAATATGTCAGGCAGATATGTTGATCAGGTGCATCGTTTTTCTTCTGCTTAAGCTTGACAACAGTTGCTATTAGCAGCAATCTCAGGGAAAGTTGCTGTTTGCAACTTTTTAAATAAACACAAATCTCACAAATATAGCTTGCTCTGTGATACAGACTGTCCAATGAATTTTATTACTAAGCATTAATTAGCACTTGCTAACCAAGCTTGCTAACTTTGGCTAATAATTTAGCGTTCTTGATGACTCATAGCTCCGAAACAAATTAAAATGGTGCGAGCAAATGCAAATGTTGAGGCTTCAAAATGCGAGTCCAAAAAAAAGGAAGAAAGAAAAAAGTGACATCACAGTGGCTACTTCCATCTTTTGGATACAGTCCATGCCATGAACACGTTTTCTTTTGATAACATATATAAATTACAGTAAAACTTTTGCTTTTTGTTGAAATACCATTTAGAAAATGACAAAAAAAGTTATTAAAAATAATTGGGCAACATGAATACCTGCACTGAATTTCAAGGCAATCCGTCATAAATACTTATATAGACGTGAAACTACTTAGGATTGTTCCTCTGGGGAATACATGTACATACAATGGAAACAGATCAATTTAGTATTTATTAATATATTTCAGTATGGATTTACAGGATAGCCAAATCTAGAGATCCCAAGAGCCACAGCACTATCATTTCTGTCACCACACAGATCCATTGGGAATTTTTATATATGTGACGTGTCAGCTTAAATACACATTAAATAAACAAACTAACACACAGATCTCATCATCAGACAACCCTCATTCTCAGAATGCTCCAAATTGACTCGTGGATCATAGTGGGTGGTTATGTTCACAGCATTCATGGTGGGAATAATTTCATTTTTGTACCACAAGGAGGCGCTGTCTACATATGTTCTCATCGCCTGTGGAAACTAGGTATGTATGAAACTAGGTAAGTAAAAGCACTTTATGGTGAGGTTTGACTTCAGTAAAGCAGTTACAGGTCCTTGTGAACTATTGCGTCTGCATACTTTATGTATGAAAAATAAATCCTGGGTACAATTAATATTATTTGGCTCCGAGTCTGACCATGTTGGACTACAGTGACATATTGTGGAAATTTAATTAGAGTGGAAACTAGTACTGTAGTATTAATCATACTTCATCACTTTTCTTGTATCATTCAGGGGAGAAAAAGGTATTTTAAAAAATGACCTCATAGTGGGCGATGACTAAGACGTTGGTAGTACCCTTGTATGTGTGTGCGTGTGTGTCACCATGCTTATCTGTGAACTGTGAAATGCTTGGAGCTACAAGCTGTTTCTTGCCTCCTGACAGACAGGGCTCAGGTGTTGCTCTTCCTTCCTGTGTAAATTATACACTGAGTTTTGATACGTGTCACATTAGACACAGCACGTTGTTCCCCCTCGGTTTCTCTCTACCGCTGCCTTTTTCATGTCGCTGACAACAGCTATGTGTGCCAGAACCGGTTTCCACAAAGCAGCATTCTGTTTTTTTAAAACACTGCTTTGTTTGACCATTTCTTCCTTTTAATATTCAACTAAATTACCTTCCTGTTTTAAAGAAGCGAGTACTTCAACAAGCTCACTTTTAGAAAATATCTGTATCTACCTCATTGTATACTGAATAGGCATATTCGATATACAGTGTGGTCACCAGTGAACACACACAAACGTGTCCAAAAAGTCTCTTCAGAATTCTTTGGATGAAGTGTCCCCTTCTTTGTGTATTAGTAATACAGTAAAGATAGTGGCTATTTAAGACCTAGAACTCCAGTATTGGGATCT